TACATCAAGAGCTAGAGTAGAAAAAGTATTAATAAAGAATTGGAAGAAATTAAGTCAAATGAAGAAATTAAATTCTAAAAGTAAAGTCTTACTTAAGTGAACAACCTTGATCACTTAAACAAGGACTAGAGGAGAGCATACTCTATTAGACATTGAAAGCTCACTTAAACAAATAATATTGGCTACTTAAGCAAGTGATAATTGTTAAATATGTCAAAAAAAATTTATCCAATTTAAGTAATTATTAAATATGTCTTGTGTTTCAAAATTTTGTTTTTGTCCACAATACATGTAGTTAAAATTATTTTATTTTTAGGATGAAATTGTCTAGTATTAGATATATATTTTTAATAGTTTTTTCTTTGTTAAGATATGACATAAGAGAATGAAACTTGAAAGTTATAAAGTCTCAAAAGAAGTCTCGCCCCTAAATCAATTAAGCAAGCCTGTCTCAAAGAATTTGCTCAACTCAACTAACAACTTGCTCTAAGTGAGTCCACATATAGATTGCCTCTAAAATCACATAATAACTCACTTAAACGAGTAAAGTTCTCACTTTAAGCAAGTTAGAATTCATTTAAAGTGATCATGATGGACCCTTTGAGTGAGACAAGTCAAAGACCAGACCATCCTTAAGAGATAATGGTAACTCGATTAAGCAAGCAAGATGCTTACTTTGAACAAGCTAAAATTTGTTTCAAATGACCATGATTGATGTTCTAAGTGAGGCAAGTCAGAAACTACCTTTGAAAAGATTAAATAGCTCACTTAAGCGAACCATATGAGGACTTTGAGTGAGCTTGCATGAATAAAAGCCCATTTAAACTTTTATAAATTAAGATTTTTAGAAAGTTTGTGGATCTTAGTTTTTACTAACAAAAAATTGGAGAGATTAGAGAGAGTTCTTTGTAAGAGCATTTCTGTAATCACATATCATTTAAAGATCTCTTCTTTTCTTGTGTAATCTTTAGCCATGAACGACTAAATTTATATATACTATTAGGGGTTGACGTAGTTATCATACTCGTGTAATAATTCTTCTTGTTTTCATATAATGTATTTATTCAATTATTCATTTTTACTTTATGCTTAATGTTTGTTATGACTTGATAACCAATACATAATTTTATAATTTTAACTGAAGTTGGATAACCCTTTTAGAATTACGATCTAGATAAAACACTAATAACACTTATTATTAGGAATAAGATAAGCTTTATCAGTCAATTTTTAGTCTCTGACCTTAATGTGAGTTGTTTAATAAAACTTACTATGAAATTGGGATTTTCCTTAAACAATTTAAAATTTCTCGCCAAAGAAATTAGGATTTAAATAGAATTGTGGGCTATTGAATTAACTGTATAACTTCTAATATATATTGAGTGAAATTTTGGAAGGATTTGCATGGGATGGTTAATGAAATCGATATCCAATTGTTCTTAATTATTATTTGAATCCTTTATTAATCTGTTGCACATTTTTTACATTCATAATTTTACAAAAAAAAATTGTATTACTTTGAACAATTTTAAATCTCTTAAAATCACCTATATATTACAAAAATTAAATTAAATAATTTATTACCTATGATAATTGATATATTTTTCAAATACGTAACAACGAGATTAATTAGTGTTAGTGAGTAATCTTGAATTTTTTTTAAGGCCCACTTAAGTGAACCATTTGGTTGCTTAAGCGAGCAATGCTAGCAAAATTAATATCAGAGATGTGTAAAAGACCTGAAATGAGAAATTTGTTCGTTATTTATGGAGGGAGGAACTTTGCATTTTTGGGAGAATAAGAATTAAGTGAAAGCCTTCATCACATAATTGGCCAAGATCCAACCTTTCACTCTTCTTTTATCGTAGATTAACCAAGAGCAACTAATTTGCTCGTGTTGGAATTGAGTATGTGATTATACTCCATGTATTTTTTATAATATGCTCATTAAAGTTTTTAAATTAGTTAATTATATTTTTTTTGTTCTTAATATTTATTTTGACTTGGTCACCCATAATTTGAACATATGGAATTAAATGTATTTGGGAAACATCTTTTAAAACTACAATATAGAAATAAAATAAAATAAACCTGAATGAAACTTATTAGTAGGAATAGTCTAAGATTTATTAGCTAGCCAACATTAGAGCCTTGTATCTTAATGCAAAACATTTAATTAGCAAAACATTTAATTAACTTTGTTAAGGAATTGATATTTCGATTAAATGTTTTAGAATTTATCACTCAACTAATTAATGATAAAATATAATCATTGGTTGTTGGATTAACAAGAATTAAAAATATAATTTGCAATTGGATGATACAAATAAGGAAGATTAATGAAATCAATCCCTAAAGTTTTTAACATTTGAATCACAACAAATATTACTTTGATTTTCTATAACCCTAAAAATATATTTTATTGTCTTTCGTAAAATTTCGTCTTTTAATTTTATGTAATCAAACCTTAAACAATATTTTCCTAATTTTGTGTAATCAAACCTTAAACTTGGATCTAATTTACTACTTGGGAAGATTATTATGCTAGCTTGTCTAAATCTTAACAAATGGTGCTGTTATTAGGGACTTGTGTTAATACTTAGGAAAAATCAATTTTATTTCTATCATAGGTTTTATTTTTTGGTTTTTATTTTTTTACAATTTTCTTTATCTGTAATTGTCTTGATCTCACTAGTTTCCTCTAATGCCTTGTTAATTCTTTACATGCGAGGTACAATCTTAATTGATCATTTGTTGTTCAACCTGAAGATGAAAAACATAACTAAAGGAATGGTTGAGATAGAAGATCTGATCCCCAAGAGATACCTCAAAGTCAAAAGAGATAAATTGAAGTCTTATCATGAAAAGAAAATAGAGGAGATAAATGTTCCTTTTATTTTAAAGGAGACTTAAGCAACATTGAATTGTCAAGCTCCTTATGTTAAACAAGCATGTACGAGATATATAACCCGACTTTCTTTCCCTTTCCTTTGCATACTTGATTTTATTTTATTTTCAGTTCAATATTTGTGATGTGATCGTGACTCGAGTTAATCATGTAATATATCCACTACTGCATGTATTTAGCATTGTATACGCTTGTTTGATGAATGAGTTGATTATGAATTATATTGCACAAATCTAGTTGCATTATCGACTATTGATTGAACATGATCAAAAAATTGCTTATTCTCTAATTGATTGACTATTTGGCATGATTTTATTGAGAACTTTCACAATTCTTGTGTGGTAAAACTATGAGATTAATTACTTAAGCCTTTTTTATTGATGACTGACACCACTATATTTACATAATTGATTTTGTTTGAGCCTTGAGTTCTTTATTTTGTATGGCTGCTTGGAAATGATCAAGGTATTTTTGTTTAAATAATAAACCATTACACTAAAATGTTAACCCAAAACCTATTTTTATCCTTTATATAATTGATTTTGTTTGAGCCTTGAGTTCTTTATTTTTGGATGGGTGCTTGAAAATGATCAAGGTATTTTTGTTTAAATAATAAATCATTACACTAAAATGTTGACCCGAAAACATATTTTTATCCTGTGTCCCCTTGAGCTAAATAGATTTTTTTTTCTTCAAAAATGTATAAGCCTTAAAAAATATGGACTCCCACAAGGTTGAAGCTTGGGCCCTCTAGGAAGCATTAGGTTGGGTAAAAGATCATGAGCTAGGCTAGAGGATGTCAGGTTTGAGCTAGATTTTGAACGTGTAGTCAATGGTCCTAGCAGTAGACAGAAGAATGTCACAAAATTTGGGGCCATTATAAATACTTGTAGACAGGTTCTAAACGGTTGGAAAAATTGCAAGGCCAGTTTTGAGTACAAGCTAACTAGCGTATAGTCATAATTTTTTTTCTTGTACTGTTCAACAGGTTGTTAATGATATGCATTAAATTTACTTTATCAAAAATACAAATCATGGACCCCTCACCCATAGATAGGAGAGAAAATCTAGATGTCATGAAAAAATTTATCCAAATTATAATAAAAATTGGCATCTACATTGACCATATTTTAAAAAAAATGAATTAATTACCTTATTAAAAATTATTAAGACATGATGAATTATGTTGCTTATTGGAATATCGTTTATGAAAATAATAGCCGATACACAATGATTTTTTTTTTTAAATCGTCAGAAAATAAGAAAGCATATTATAATATTAAAAATAATACTATAATAATAATATATATAATACAAAGGTAATATTAAATAAATATAACATCAAAATTTTACGATACTAAAAATTAAAATAACATTATTTATAGATTCTTAACATGTAAAAGTTTAAACTAAATATAATTTAATATATTATTTTAATTATATTTTTTATAAAATATAATAATGTTCATTAATAATAACAAATTTAAATTTAGAATAAAAAGTATCAAATTAATATAATATGAATTATAAAAAATCAAGATATTAACAATTATAGATTAGCATAAATGATTAAATTATATTTTAGTAAAAAAGTAATAAAAATAATTGATAAATTAATTTATTTTAATTTATAATATTTATTAAACATATTTTAAATTAAATTTTAAAAATTAAAAATTAAAAATATTTTTTATTTAAAAAAATGACTGGTTCAAACCAAATTTTTAGCTTTGATTTTTTGCCAGTACAACCTATTTTTTTACTGATTCTGACCAATTCTTAAACACTTCAGCTTCAGTTACTTTCTGATTAGTCGTCAAGCCAATTCTTTGACCGTTCGATTCGATTTTCAAAATAATGTTTAAAAACAGTTGTTCCTTAGTATTATTTGGTAAAGTTAACACTGGCTTAAGAACTATACGGTGGAGATTACCTTTCAAAACAGGTTTGAATGGAATTGTTTTTGAAATGTGTCTTACGGGCTTTTCTTGTGATGCATATGTATTAGTCTATTCCTTGCTGCCAAGTCCCATGGCTTTCAATTGGACTGGACTCATTTTAGCTCTCCAATCAATGCAAGTACACTTCCAAGTCAGATAACACATCTCTTCAATTTATTAATTAGAAAATGAAAACAAATGTGAAATAAATTGATAGCCTTTTGGCCAAGTCAGTAGCTATATCAGGATCAAGGGAGAGAATCTTACATAAGCTAATAATACCCCCAAATAATTACAAACTAACAAAATTCAAGAGGAAAAGAAAACTGACAATCTAAGCAACCTAATCTAAGAACTGTTTCTAAGCTGAAATCTTTGCTCAAATATATTCTCATCTAGAAGAAGTAACAGCCTCAGTTTGATGTTCTCAGTGGACCACAGCCTCCTACGAAAGAGCTGTGTACGTGTAATGCTTGGTCCATTAGGTTAATTACAACTTTCACCAGCCGCAGGCGAATGAAATCATTTAAATTCAGAAAGCAACTTTCAGATAGAATCGCTTCAAGATAAATGTTATCTGTCCCTTCCCTTGCTTTTGTTGTTAAAAGGGCAATCCACAAACCTTCCCAAGTAGAACTCCAAATAGCCTCGTTTCCGGAGGTTCCAAAAGGCTACTCTCCCTTTGATTCAGTAAAACAAGTTTCCACCATGAAAGAAGGTTCAAGATAAACCCTCCACACACTAATTTGCATTCATTATCATTATCTGCAACACAAGAACAGTATTAGCATGTTATCTCCACAAGATCATTATTTGGTGACACTGGTGCTTTAAGACCTATATGTCCCTCACACATGCAGGATAAAAGTTATTCAGAATGATACTCCTAAAATTTAATGAAATTGCACAAATACTATTACTTTTTCTATTCCTACTAATTATCTTTTTAATTGTTTGAAAAATATTTAACTTATACTTCTTTAACATTACATTAATTCCCTTGATTATTTAATAAACATTACTCTGTGACTTCTTTCAAGAAAGGTTGATGTAAACGTATTAGAAACAGGTGTCAATGTAATTTCACAAAATCTTAGGGAATGTTGGTGTAACTTGCTCTAAATAATAATAGAATAGTATCAAACATGGTTAGGTAAACATTACCTGAACTAAAATTATGATGCAGCTAAAGGATCAAAATTGCCTTCATTAATTTCACCGAAGATATTTGGGCATCCATTCCATCTTCCTTGAGCTCTCGTTTCCCAATACCCGCCAATGTATCGAAACGTTCCATTTTCACCTTCTCTGTGGAACCACCGAGGCTGCCATCCATTTTCTTGCATTTTCCTTGACTGTATGAAAATGATTATCAAAATATAGACAAACGAAATTAAAAGATCATGACCATTAGTTATTGGCATCACAGGAGAAACTAATTTAAATAAAAAAGTGAAATCTACAACGATTACATGAGATGCATTAGCTTTAAAAATAAAGGGTTAAACATATAATTTAACATGGTTGAATTAGGTTCCTTTGACTGAACACACGTTCAAATCAGTCTATCACTCGCTTAGCTTCTCCTTTAAAGCATCGAAAAGTAATAACTTCAGTTCAACATCATTCCAACAAATATCTAAACCCAACCTTAATTCCTATACATGCCAAGGATCTTTAATCTGGTCCATTATCCATGAAAACATTACCTATTTAGTCTATGTCACCTTTAATCTCTATATGCGTTCTTAATTTAATCTATATATATAGAGCATTATTAATTTGATTCCTATATAAGAACTAAATTAAGAATATATTAGAAACCAAATTTAGAATGTAAGTTATTGATCATCATATGACAATAAAAATTAAACCAATAATGTTTGTGCAAATAAGAATCAAATTAAAAAAAAAAACGTATGATCACACCAAATTAAAAATCTACGACACATAAAAATTAAACTATATGTTTAACCAAAATAAAACTAAAACAAACTTTTTACACAATTCAAACCAAAAAAGACTAAAAAAAAACAAATAAGCCTTGCTTTACACATGCGGAGTTATAATTTTTCACATGCAGAGTTATATACTCACTCATTTCTGCAAAGTATTTTAGCAAAATACACTCATTTTTTATATATATTTTAAGAAAATCAAAGAGCTAATATCGACTTTAAAAATAATTAAGTGTACGTCAGCAACCATTGTTTTAAAAAACAAACTGGTTCAACTGAAAACTAGTCTAGACCGAACCATTAATTCCAAATAATTGAAGCATATTAGAACCGATAAAGAACTGATCATAGTTTTTATTGATTTAAAAATTTTATATTTTAATTTCTCATAATTATATACTCTATTCCATAATAATTGTTTTATTAAAAGAAAAAATAAGTATAATGTTAGTTTTTCAAATCAGTATTAATTACATTTTTTTCATCTATATCCCTAATAATATTATGTAAAAAAAGATTTTTGTTTTGTATAGTTTCTAGTAAAGAAGATTAATCATAAAATTAATTTTGTAAAATTCTTATTTTCTTTCAAATATTTATTAGTTTTTCTTGATTTATATAAAATAATTTATGTCAACTATTATTATAGAACGAAAAAATATTATTTTATTATTTAAAATATTATGTAATATTAAAAATATAATTTTAATTAGTTCTTTTTCAATTATAATAAAATTATTGAACTTTGAACAAGTTTCTTCACTTGTTCATTCTTATCCAGTTTCAAAAATATTGTCAGCAACTATGGGTGCTAATATACACCTTTTTTTTTAAGGATATATTAACCAGTTGCATGTTTAATGCGCTTGAACATACTTTAAAAATTAAGTGGTCATTCTTGACAAATCTCATAAGAGTTTAGGCCCCATAAACAAGTCATCAAGTAAGTTAGGGTTATATATAAATGTTTTTAATTCTAATAGAAAATAATTTTGATCTTTCCAGAAAATAGTATTGATTTTACAATTTGTTTGTTTAAGGTGATTTTAAAAAGAGAGAAATAAGTGAAAAAAAAATATAAGAAAAAAATTAAATTGTGTTGTTTGAAGTTTGGGAAGAGTGAGAAATGAGAGGAGGGAGAATATTAGTTGAGCTCACATAAAAAATATTTACCTTCTAAGATGGAGATTTTGGTGGAAGAAATAAGAAAAAAAATTAGTAGGACCATTAAAGTTGAAATGAAATATTTATGATTTTATTTTGAATTATATAAATGTTTTTAAGGAAAAATATATTTTTTAATATACATTCACGCTTTTTTCTTTTTAACTTTTACTCTATTTCTCTTGATTCAATTAACTTAAAAATTTACTATATTTTACTCATTCTCTTTCCTCACTTACTTTTTTCTTTTCAAAATTTTCTCATTCAAATAAAGTATATCCATAAATGTCTAAAATATTATTTAATAATGATGTGACATAAACTTAGATATATGTCATGTCAATAAACCATTTGTAAATAAGTTATGACATGACATGTCTACATACATATATTACATCAATAAATAATAAAATTAGAACTAATTTAAATATATATAAAAAAGTAAAACCAACAACAAAAATTGATTAATGAAGCCAAAATTAATTATATTACATAAACTAAAACCATACTTTATGAAGTGAATTAGAAAGAGTATTGGTATTTGTACACCTTAATTTTATATACTCATCTATTAAGTGTTCAGTTATTTTATTTCTTATTGCATTATATCACTTATTATATTTATATATTTTTACATCCTATCGTCTATTAAGTGTTCAGTTGGTGTCATGAATGTCCAAATTTTTTTTTCTTAAGAAATTCACAAGATACGGGTCTAAAAAGAACCCCGTATGCAACGAAAGGAAAAAGCAAGGAAAGAATTGACATTTCCTGAACAAAGCATGGTAGAGTTTTCAGACATACCATTCTTTGCCTCTTTTCCAACCTTTGTTTTTCCATATTAGCCTTCTCGTATTCCCCATTCTCTAGATGCCGCTGATCCGGTCTCAGCCTGGAATCCGTGGGCGGAAGCTTCTCCTTTAATCCGTGATCAAATACCCGGAATCAGAAAAGGCTATAACAAACAATTAGAGATGCATAAGAAGATAAAGGAACACGCACATGGAATAATGATTTCATACATCATTATACCTTTAGGCCCGGAGTAAGCTCATTCAAAGTGATGGCAAATGATGTCAAATTGTAACGGGTGAGATTAGATGGTGGCTTAGCCCTTTTCCATAACAAGTTTGTGTCTGACAAAGTGAAATCTTTTGGCTTCACATGCACTTCACCATTAACATAATACATGCTGTCATCCCACTTGCCAAATAATGTGGCAACCTTTTTTCCCGTTACATCTTCAACAAAGCCATGCACCTAATTAGACATAAAGCATATTCTCATGAACAGTTTGTCAGGTAAAAAGCACATACAAGATAAGATTCCTTCAGATATTTTGAGTGGGGTAAAGGAGAGAAAACTAAAATTACAGGCGAACCAACACAAACTAAAGGCTGGGTTAGTAAAAATAGACTAGAAATAATATATCAGGCTTCAAAGGACAAAGCAGTTGTTAATAAAAACTCCTACCTGGTGAGGATTTCGATCAAGAAGCGCCTGTTCTTTGAACTTGACTCTGCACGAATATTGGCGATTACCACGGATTTCCATGTTCCCATGATGGTCACAATATATTTTGCCAAGGATAAGATTATAAATTGTAGTCGTGACCTAGGAAAAACAAAAACGATTACAACTATTATTTATAATTTGATATAATATATTATAATATGAAGCTTAGAAAGCAAAGTCACTAGCACTAGTCAGTATACAACTATACATAGTCCATGTAAACAGAGTCATTTCACGATATATCTATACCTTACTCCACTGAAATATTTCCCCATCATCAAACTCTAGGGTAAGAACCCCAACTGGGTCAAGCTGAATTGACCTTCCCCAAAACTTTGACCGAATGTTACTGTCGGCCCAAAACTTCCATCCTCTACCTTCACAGTGGCAGGCAACGACGGTTGGATGGTGACTCACCTGTTTCACACATTATCAGTTGTTTGAGAAACAGTAAATACTGACAGGTTAATTGAGTTACCTGCACATTGTACTCTATGTTGAGCATATGATAAGAACACTATCGTTGGACCTATTTAATAATTTAAGCAATTTTACCCCGCGAAAAGAATGACATAACATTAACATAACAAAACCATTGCTCAGTTATCAAGTTGCATGCCACCAGTTTGAGCATCCTCTTCACTTTGGTCCCATTTCTCAATATCAGTTAATAAGTTACTTTATCTTCTGTTGTTTTTGTGGAAGAACGCATGTAAAAGATTTTGATGATGCCAAACAAATTGTAGAAAACAAGAGGTCAAGTTAAAGCAAGGTGTTCAAGAAACAAAAATCTCAATGTATTTTAGATAAGTCTTATTAACCTAGTGTAAAAAGAAATCTTTAGAAAAATTGCATAAGGTTCTTGGCCATTTAAAATAAAGAATTTCAAGAAAACTCAAATATAATCTTTTATATTAATAAGGTTTTGAAAATAAAGGTTTTCTATATTTTAAGTTTTAATAAGGCAATTATTGTTTTAAAGAGTCTGGTAATCGATTACAAGTACATGTAATCGATTACTAGAGGATGAATCTCATATGTTCAAAATGCACTTATTAAAACGTGCCCTGGTAATCGATTACCCATTCCCTGTAATCAATTACCAGAAGTTAAAAGTTTCAAAATTTGAATTTAAATTTTACACCGTTCCAAACGTTTTGAAATTAAACCGTTGTAATCGATTACCAAGTCTTGTAATCGATTACCAGAGCCTATTTTCTGGGAAATTTTAGAAAGACACAACTCTTCATGAAAAGTCATGACCTATGAAACAATCATCTATAAATACCAATAATTTTTCAGAAAAAGGTTACGAACTCAATTGTGAAAAATTATCTTTACAATCACTTGGCCAAAAATCATTTGCAAATATTATCTAAAGAGTTATACTAGATCAACAAAGTGTAAAATCCACTCTTCAAAGAGAGTTGTTCTACTTCATTCATCTTTTCTATTGATCTGTAAAGGGAAAATTGTTGTTCTCCTCGGTGGTCTGTGATTCTCAACACGAGGAAAGAGAATTCCTAGATGTTGGAGAATTTGAGTCTTGTAAAGGTTACAAGCATAGTGAAAAATCTCAAGTGGGTGACTTGAGGACTGGATGTAGGCAAAGTTGGCCGAAACAGTATAAAATCAAGTTTGCAATTCTCTATCCCTATACTTTTACTTTTGTTGTGAAGTTTTTGCATCATTACGTACAAATTGTTTATGATATTGATTTTATAAGAAAGAAGTTAGAAAAACTAATAAAGAGAAGAAAAATTATATAACTTAATTCACCTCCCCTCTTAAGTTACACGAGGCTACTCGACTAACAGTTTTTCGGAGCAACTGAAAAATATCTTACATGATAGTAGTAAATTTGCTGGAAATTTCACAATTATTTTTTGAGGTAAAGGTGTAGTTATAGATATTCAAACCAAAACTAGAAAGTCATTTATGGTACCACATCTATATCTGGGCCAATTCTGTGCATCATTAATTTAAATAACAGGGAACTAACCTTCTCAGAAAAAAATCGGACTCCTTTGTCTGGATAATCAGCTTCGTATGTTTCCCCTAACAGTGGATTAAAGGGTTTACAATGACGACCTTCAGATGATGCATATCCAGAAACTGCAAAAGCCGCAACATGCAGTGCCCGAAGGAGACTGTTTCCCTGAAAATAAAAACTCAAAGGGTTGAACTGCCACATTCAAGCATTAAATCATGTCATCTTTGTAGTGAAACTAAAAATAAAAAATAATTATATGTTGTCAACTGATTATTAAGATCTCCACCTCACAAAATTCCTTGGATTTATCTGAGAAGAGATCACTATATAGAGAAGATGCACCAGTTGCGTATGTGGCAATTGATCAAAACTATGCATCTTAAGACCAAACAAATTCGTATGAATTTATGAGGTATAGTTTTATAAAAAACTAGTTAGAAGAATTTCATTTGATTCATGTAGATACTATTATTCTTAGACATGTTTGACCACAGTTATTATTTTCACAATAAAACAATAATGTTTAAATATAGTTATAGTAGCATGTGTCATAGTAAATTCACAAATGTAACAGCATAAAGAACCTTTTAAGAAAATTAGACATAAATATATCAAAATTACAAATCAAATGATAAAAAAGAATTGCAAGCTGAAGAGCAGTACATACATTCCATTTAGCACTACCAATCGTGACAAAAATTATCTAAGGGGAAATTCATTTATCAGATAGACCAATAACACAATTAAAGGTCACATACCAACACTAGTTAGAAATTTGTTATGTTTACACTGCAAGAGAAGCACAATCAAGAGAAAGATGTATATCTTACTGATTTTCCATACTCATAAGCTCGATCCAGTAGAAAAGAGTACTCCAAGTCCTCAAAACATTTCTGAAGAGATGATATTGGCTCATTAAAGTATACAGGTAGACACACTCGGGTGAGATCTTTGCCCACATTGTCTTTGATAATTGACCAAAGACTAACGCCCTTCTCTTTCTCAACAGGATCTGGAAGCTTCTTTCGCCTTTCTATCTGAGGGTAGCCAAAATCATTGATTGTCTTCTCAACAAGACTGTTCTCCAAATTAATGCATTGTGTGTTAGCTTCTCCAGACATATTCATTGGATCCAAAGCTCCTGTTGACCCACACCTAGAACCAAGTTCTGTAAAATACTCTTTAGTGTCATAATATGAGATTTCATCTTCCTCTGACACTTCCTCCATCTCCTGTTTCTCAATATCATCAGATGATTCAGTAGTACTGCATTCTGAAAACCAAAAGTTTCTGTGAAAAATAATACTAGAGTCTGAAAAGATGAGATATTATATATCAAAGGTTGTAGATAGGTTCATTGCAAACATATTTACCCAAAGATAAACTTCTGCAATTATCAGAAGACAAATGCAATTCTTATGATCATTAGAGACAACAATAAGCACAGTCATTTGTGTTGTCTTTTTCTTTTTCTATTTTAATGAATCAAAATTTGAAATACTTGTGGTCATCAAGTTCACACATTAATTGCTTTACAAATAAACTGCAATATAACAGGAGCAACCATCAAGTACAGGATCTTCCATAAATGTTAATGTATTTTTCCATCATGTACACCAGGAGCATGGGTTAAAGGCATTAAATACATCCTCTTAAATGCTTTCAAGTACTTACAAAATAAAGCATTAAATGGCTTTTGTATTCCCGATTCAAAAATGTTTTCTTTTCTAATAAAGACTCTATTTTAATTCCCTTAACCTATGCATAAGATAGAAAAATCCTTATTAATTTTAACCAAAAAATACAACTTATAAGCAATCATAGCCTATCAATTGGACTTTTGAAATAATAATTTCTTGCCAACTTGAATCTAAATGATAGTTAAAAACTTAAAATATTAAAAAATAAATTTTGTAGAGATTAATGACAAACGAATGAAAAAGATGCTAGTGAATTATTCACAATGTGGATTTTAAACTATACAGCTTAGAAAAATTAAAAGAAAATATAGATTCATGTTCTGATAACAATTAGCAAAATACTTTCCATAATTCGAAAAGCAGTTTGTGAGCAACAAGATGTCAGCAATATTTCTCATGATCAGATCACAGAACTATAGGTCTCTATGATCACATTCGAGACAACAAATATTCTAAAATATTAAATATTAGCACATGATAATTACATGAAATGAGCAAAAGAAAGGTCACAGCATATGTAAAAATTATATAAGTATAAAGTGATATATAAAGTAATACCACTATATTTCCCACGTCCTAGACTTGAAAATCCATTCTTTGTTAATTGGTATTCACTGTCATGCAAGGCAGAGGCCTCAGGTTCAATGTTAGCAGCCTGTTCATGATCAATAATAACAAAAGACTAGTTTAGTAAGTGACATACAGAGTAAAAAAAAGCTTCCACAAACACATGCTGGCAAACAGAATGGTAATCAATTATGAGTACCATGGTTCATGATTTATGATCTTTCTTTGGGTGGGAGAGAGAATCAGTAAACAATACCATCAAACACGGTCACCAGTGACAAGGCTTTTAGAAAAATCAACAGATCAGTCAAAATGCATGGCCAAATGAACCGAACATATCACGTGATGTAACATGCAATTAGACCTAGTTATTGCTTCTACAAACAACAATAGCACTCCAGTTTGAACTGCAGCAATACATTAACAGCTTATATCATATGAAGCTAAAGCCATAAATCTTTTACCATTTGACAGACCGATGACAATTGACAAGAAATCTTTTCAAGTACTCCTTTTGTATCATGAAATTTTATGTTTAATATTTTTCACACTCCTTTAAAAATATTTAATATTAATATGTTACGTCTAAAATATATTCGTCTAATATATTAAAATATGTAAAATAAAACTAATTATGAAGTAAAAATAGTAATCGTCAAACAAGAGTATATGTGAAAAAAAGGAATTAATATTGTTTAGAATATGTAAAATATCAACAAAAAAAACAAATAAAATAAAATAGAAAGTCAAAAATTATGGTTGGAGACTATAATATAAGAAAAAAAATTATTGGACACCTCTATGTATTAATACATTGATATAGAGACAATACTGCTTTTGGTAACCACTTTTGATGTCCACCTTTATATAGATATAATTGTCTTTATTTTTATTTTGTAATTTTATATTTTTTTAAAGTATTCATAAATAATCATTTTACCTCTACAACTATCCAAATTATTGTTTACTCATATTTAACTTCAATTACTTTTATTTTTTATTTTATAAATATTTTTAAATAAAATATACGAAAACATGAAGCGTTTCATCTATGCACTAGAGTTCAATTATAAAATTTGACAAATGAGAGATAGAAAAAAGTGGAGACTGTCAATTTGGTATTTGAATTGTCTAATAATAGCATGTTTTGATAGATAAAAAAAAAAGCTGGAAGGGAAAAAAATTTAGGATTTGAATCGAAAGAAAGTATGGAAAAATAAAAATTGTAAATTTTTATTCCTAAAAAATCATTTTTTTCATTTTTATTTTACTTTATTTCTAACAAACAAAAGAAAAACATCATAATTTGTATTTTCTTTTATTTTTATTTTTATTTTTTCATTAACCCAAACATGACATAAGTGTCCATAATAACACTTCATAAGATAATAGAGAGAAAAAATATTGAATGAGTTAGCCAAATTAGTATTAATTTTGGCGAGCTAAAAAAAAAAGAAAGTTGGAAATATAACAAATTTTAGAACAGTCAATGGCTTAAAGCCAAAGCATTAAAATTAAATGTCTCGTTACATTAAAACAAAAAAAATGTGGAATGGCACACAAAGCATATGTCGGACAATATTTTTTTTATGCAAGTAATTTTTAGGTGAATGTTTTTGTCAAGCTGGCTCAATATTGATCCACCCAAATGAACCACCACAGAAGTTAATATATATATATATATATATACTTGAGAAAACAAGTTACATGGACTCTTTATATTATAGTTTAATTTGGAGAGTCTGCAAGTGCTATTCTACAAAATTTAAGATGGAGTTGTCTGAACTCTAAACAAATACACAATAGTATTTTAAGTTTTCAAAAGCAAACAATTGTCAGAAGCAGGGCGGAGCTTGGTTAGGACATACGGGTACCATGACCATCCCCCCAAATATATATGGGCTGATTCCATGATTCGTATTTTATATTAAATTTGTATGATTCAAGTGTTAAATTAAAAAAAATTAATATTTTAATTAATATATTTTTATAAAATTTAAAAATTATTTAATATTTTATTTTATTAATT